GCAGCAAAGCAGGGTTCATTCTTTACCATTTTACTTCTAGGAAACTTTTTACATCTGACATTTATATTCCCTAAGAGATCCTGAGAAACTAAATAAAATCCAAAATAGCTGTTAATATAATTCTTGAACACTGTCTCCTGCTCAACAGACACCAGTGGGCACAGGCCCTCTTGACAGCTGCGTGGACTAGAGGGTTTCCTTTGGTCTTTTGTCAAAAACCATTTGAACAATGTATCACAAAGGAAAGGGTGGCTTACCATGTTGACTCTCCAAAGTTCTTGCTCAGCAGAGAACAATTTCTGGTCGACAATGTCTATGCACAAGTTGAACCCACTAAGGTTAAGGTATCACAGCAGTTGGTCATTTTCTTTTCTAGGGAACTTCTATAGGCAAATGTCCAAAGAACAAGTTATTTAAAGGTTACATAGAATTGGAGCTACAGCTTCGAGAATTTGACAGATGCCGGAAGCTTTATGAAAAGTTCCTGGAATTTGGACCTGAAAATTGTACCTCGTGGATTAAATTTGCAGAATTAGAGACAATCCTTGGCGATATTGAGAGAGCCCGTGCAATCTATGAGTTAGCCATCAGCCAGCCACGCCTAGATATGCCAGAGGTGAGCATTTTGAGTTCAATATAATTTAGTTTTAGAACACTTCTCTTGTATTACTTAAGATGACCATCTAAATGTGCATTTGAGAGAATAAAGATCTAACTTCCAGTCTTTTTTACTCAGATGAGGACTTTTCTGTTTTGGAGGCAGGGGAAGCAGCCCCTTAATTGGATAGTAGAACACAGCAATGCCCCATCATGACACCAGGCTGAATTGGAATGTAGTGAGTAGGTGACTGCCTCTCTTCCTTTCTCAAAGCTAAAGGGGATGAGATTGTCAAAGCAACAGGCAGCAGGCAACTCCATCCAGAGATCAAGAGAGATGGAATTGAGATCGCCCATCCCTGTATTCTCCTGAGAATTTTTTACAGATTGAGCAAGCAAAAAATGCTTTAAGCAAACCAGGATGTTCCTGAAATTACAACTGCAACTATACTAGGAGTCCTGCCTTTTCAGAACCCAAAGTCATCACTTCAGTATTTAAGTTTGAGCCACAAGGTGGCGCCAAACTAAAGCTGGAATGAATTTGAATCTACCAGGAACCACTGAACTCATCAGCCATTTTGTTTATCTTGCACTTTCATTTCCTTTCATTTAATGGTTCACTGGGCCCCACTGACTGCATTAGGACAGGGCTTTTTATATTACTAGGTCCATCTGTTGGCCTCAGCTCCTCCACAGGCTCTCAGCTCCCAAGAGTCCAGGTCACATGTTGCTCATCCTTGTTCTCCTGACAGGCTATACATACTAGCAGATGAGACAGCTGTTTGCTGAATTTTTGAGTTGCACTCAGACATATCAAGAAATTACAGTGGAGATAAAAATAATATATACTGGCTAATCTAGGCCTGTTTTCTCCCTGCAAGTTCGGTTGTATGTGACACAATTATGACAGTGCATGGGAGATTAGGCAAGTTTCTCACAGCTCTTTGATAAGTCCAGCTTTTGAAAAAGTGCCAAGGGAGAATCCAAAAATGAATCAAAGGGCACCACAGCTTGTGGCAGCTTGTAAATACTATTTATTTTATCTGCATGCCATCTGTTCTTTCATTGTTCACCAACGTCCTATGTTCCTGGATTTCCTAGGTTGAAATAGTAGTTAAGCTGTGCTTTGGATAGGGACATGTTGCTTTTTAAATATCAAGGCTGACCCATTAAGTTATCTTTCTTAGGTGCTCTGGAAATCATATATTGATTTTGAAATTGAGCAGGAAGAAAGTGAAAGAACACGCAATCTTTATCGACGATTGCTTCAACGGACACAACATGTCAAGGTATCCTGTGCTTTATAAATTATCTTTGATTTTGCTTGAGTCAGCAGTCCTGAAGAAATACTGTATTTCTATATTTTAAATGTTTTAAAAAGTATTTTGTGATTTTCCTGCTTTTAAAGAGAATCTTTGTCTCAGAGAACTTTGGAATATTAAGCTTATACCAGGTCAGTATTTATAGTGCATGTGAATAAAATGGGTACTATAGGGTTGAATAAAAAGTTAAACTCTTTTCATTATTTGAAGACTATTTCAGACACCTAACTGGATATAGAAGCAGACTGCTTCAACATTAATATATTGAAGCATATGGTAATTGTTATGTTCTTTAGAATATAAGAAATTAATATGTTCAGATATTAACAAGAAATTAGTGTTACTACTAGTACATTTTTGTATTCTGGGTAACAAGCTAATTTGGTCCTATAATCCTTTTTTTTTTTAAAGGTATGGATCAGTTTTGCTCAGTTTGAGTTGTCTTCAGGGAAAGAAGGAAGTTTGGCTAAATGCAGACAAATTTATGAAGAGGCTAACAAAACCATGCGTAACTGTGAAGAAAAAGAAGAGAGACTTATGCTGCTGGAATCTTGGCGAAGATTTGAAGATGAATTTGGAACCACATCGGATAAAGAGAGAGTGGACAAACTCATGCCAGAGAAAGTCAAGAAGAGAAGAAAGGTCCAGGCTGATGATGGGGTAAGAACTGAGCCCCTGAAACTGGTCATCTCGTGTCAAATGAGCAGAAATGCATCTGACTTAGAATTTGTACTTTTAAATGGCATGTGTACAATCTGAAAATGGAAGCAGATAGCCTGGGGTAAGGAGACAGTTGCAGTCTGTGGAAACCAAGTGTGGAAACAGTGTATAGTCCACCCAGGGTAGCGAGGGGGAGAGGGTTGGCAAAGGCTTCTTCATTGATTCTAGGAACTACACAGGAAGTCAGGATGAAGGGAAATGAAAGTCAGCTTTTAGTAGGTAGGACCTAATCCAGAGGCTTTGTAGGCTATAAGAAAACTCTTCTGCACAAAATGACATAACCATCATTGGCATCTCCTGAAGGTGGACTCGGGGGACTTGGATTGCAGGAGCACCTATTTGGGAGGCTGTTTAAGTAAAACATGTGGTGATGGAAGCTGGAACTAGACCAACCTTTAGAATTAGTGACCCACTGGAGGTAGAGATGCTAGGGTACGGATTCAGAATAATTATGCAGATATATGGCTTTCACTATTGAGTAAATTTTAAGTATATCTTTAAACTTTTTAAATCTTGGACTAAGCAAGATGTGCTTAGATTTTGAGGTTTTTCCCAGGATTTTCTCTCACTGAGCCACACTTAGAGCACCACCAATCCAACAGCTACTTACCCACTTTCAGTCTTCGGTTCTCTTGCCCTTGTTATTTCTACAGTACACTTGGATGTTGTTTTGTAAAATGAACGTATACTTGAACTCTTGGTTTCCCAGTGAAAATTCTCAACTTCCAACTGAAATGTATTTCAGCAACATGTTTGCTTACCTTTCAATTGTTTTATTGTTCCATAGTCTGATGCAGGCTGGGAAGAATACTACGATTACATCTTTCCAGAAGATGCTGCCAACCAGCCGAACCTCAAACTCCTGGCCATGGCCAAACTTTGGAAAAAACAGCAACAGGAAAAGGAGGCTGCTGAGCAGGACCCAGATAAGGACATGGATGAGAGTGAATCTTGATCTTGTTCATATTGATGGTTTTATTTTTATAAATTAATAGTTTTGAAGTCTTGTGACTCCTGTAACTTTTTTTATAGTTCACCAGTAACAAACTGATTGAAATCTTTGGCAGCTACTTTTTGAATTATTTTTAAAATGCTCCTGGGCTAGTTAGGGGTGGGGGGTGGTTGAGAGAAGGAATTTTTTTAACTGCTGGATTTTTCTGACTGAATCCAAACATTGTTTGTCTACACAGTACATTAGGAAATCTAAGTAAGGTAATGTTTAGCATCTACTTTAGATGGAAATGCAGGGTTTTTAATTTTTTTCTAGAAGTTTTCAAGTTACATTCTATAGGAACTTTTAAGGTATAGTTTTCTCATGACTATCTTTTTCATAAAGATTTTATGCATTCATCTGAAACCTTTTTCTTTCATGTCTTTAGAGTCACATTAACTCTAGTCCTGGCTCAACTTAGTGATAACTAATTCAACCTTTATTTTTAGTTTCTTCACTCATAAAATGAGCTAATACTTTGCCAACTCATTTTGCAGATTACATTACATGACCTAATGCGTTAGTAAGTGCTCAATAAAATGTCCATTCCTGTCCATGGCCATACCATCCTGAAAGCACCTGATCCCGTCTAAAATGTTCCTTCCTTATAGAATTGAATGTGCTTGGATTAATTTAACTTCTAAAATTCCTACTTTTGTGGCCATTTATATTAGCTGCTTTTCAAAACATTAGTTTGAAAATAATTTACAGTGACTATGTATTTCTGAACATGGTCTTTTTTACCAAGAACATATTAGTCAAATTTCAGTTATGCCCTAGTTTCCCTGACTGGTTGAGCTCTGTACTGGCTTGTTTAAAAAATAGTAATATGTCTGCCATAAAAATGATGTTCCATACTCAAGTTTGGGAAACCCTAGATTAAGGGTTAATTAAGCCTTTTAAGTGAAATCCCTTATTGGTTTCTCAGAGTCTTTGATGTACTGCTGTATATATGAATTCCAGTAACAATGCCGGCATGTTCCCCAAGAAGAGTAATTTCTACCTAGTGTACCAATAAATATCTCCCAGCATCCTATAGTAGTAAATGTCTGCCCATAACACCTGACACATTAAACTTACCCCTACTTTAGTACATGGGGTAAACAACCAAGGTAACTAAACTATTTGCTAAATATAACAGATAGCACAAGGAGGATAGTGTATCTGATGATATATTACATTCTAAAGCAAAAAATACTTGCCTTAATTAAAATATTTACTTTAATCTGGCCTATATTTCTCAAGCCTCTCTTTTCTTCTGTTCATTGCCCAAGCTATTGGACTACAACTGTGTATCTTCAAGACTTTTTTTTACCTATAAGGACAATTAGCGTATTTATTATCTAAATTAAATTAGGAAAATGTATTACTATATTTGCAAATATATTTGCACTTTTATTCCACAGGAATAAAAGTTAGTCAGTATGTTACTAAATTTTTATCTTGAAAATAAGGTAGTTTTTGAGGGCAGAACAAAATAGGACTGCTAGAATAGAAGGGAAACCTGTCTTCAACCTCACTGATTCAATCGTTGGACCAGTATCAGCAGTTGTGGTGTCAGGTTATAGAGTCTAGCTAAAATTCTGTTTATGTTACTTGTATGTGTAAGAAAAGAAAATTACTGATCATGGTTTCAAAGCAAACTCTTTTAATACTTTCTGGGAAGTGCCATTAAGGAAATGCATGAAAGATAAAGTTTTTCTTTCATGGTAGATCATAAAGGATTCATTTCTTGATCATCTTTAACTCTACCAAAATAAGTTCTTTCTAAAGTAAAAGCTCTTTAATAATCATTTCTGTGGGTTTTTCTTTAGCTACTTCTTTTACTCAATATTTTCTGATTACAAGTGATTAAAATTACACATGAGAATATGTGGTTGGCCTATGATCTAGTTACATGGCCTTTAGGAATTAGATTCTTTTTCCCCTTTAAATAAATTTCAGCATCTTTTTATATTTTGAAAGGCAGGATTTAAGGAAATTATTTATGGGACAAAACAAAGAACCTGGAACTAAGAGTGTGAAAACAAGTAACTGGGAAGAATTTATTCTGCATTAAGGAAGAAGCTTCAGTATGCCAGGCAGGGAGTGTTTAAAGACAATAAAAAAAAATGTTTTATATATAAACCAAAAACTTAATGAAGAAACAAAATATCCTAAAATGATACCTTCTCAATCCTAATTTAGTTTGACAAACTTCCAGGAAACATTTGTAGCATCAATAGTACATTTTATTATACATCTTAAGTTTAGCACTTCATATATGCTTTTAAAGCTTCAGTCAATACGTCAATACAAAATAAAATATATATCTATGCAGCAGTGGTTCTCAGGCACAAAATTAGGAGACTGGAGCAAGTTTTTTTCCCCTAGCATCTTATGAACCATGATGGTACACTTTCCCTCTGACTTAGCTGCCTTTCTGATTGAATTTTATCACAGTGGACAGCTTTAGTAGGTATGATATTGCTAACTGAAAACAATGAGATTTAAAATATTTTATTGAAATCATTTAAGACCTAAATGAATATTTTTCTCTAAAAGAGCTCTAAGATCATCCAGTGGAAATAATACTGTCCATAAAATATCTGGAACATCAGCCTAAGAACCACTGCCCAGGGTTATTCAATGTCTTCTGGCCTCACGGGATGAGGTAACGGTATGATGGATTTCTTCTCAGTGTCCCTGGAAAGTGCTTTCCTCATATCTGTTAGGAAGCAAGGTTTAATGTAAGTACCCCAATTTCAAACTATTTTTATCAAATTTAAAGTATACAGGCAAATTTCCCGTAAGAGGTTTGGTCCCCTACCCCGACTTTCACCAGATTCTAAGAGAAATAAATGTCTTTATATAATCACAAGTAGCCAGACGCTAACCAAACCCCAACTGGGATTCAGCTTTTAATACAAATATTCTTTTGACAGAATCTTAGTAAAAGAACATGCCTGTAATGTAGTAAGGCAATAGTTGACAGTAATTAGTTATGGGTTAGCTAATATAAATTAAGTAGTGGTATATTTGTGAAGGCAGGTTGAAGGAAACTTAAATATTATTTATCAAATTTAAAATATATCCCAACAAATATAATTATTTTAAGTTTATTACAATAATTAAGTATTTCAGTCTGTAGAATGAATGTAAATGTTTGGCTTCCTCTTTGGGTTTCTGCCAGTGAAAGGAGCTTACCATAAGCGTCCTCGTCCGGCTCCCCATTGCTGGCTGAGTAGTACTCTATGACCGTCCTGTACACACTGTAGCCCAACTGCTTATACATGTTGACTGCAACTTGGTTAGATACTCTTACAAAGAGGTCAACAAAAAATCCACCTTTTCTTTTTTAAAAAAGAAAATGTTAGAATGTGAGGAATTACAGAAAATAACAAGTACATATATTTTTTAAACCATAGCTAATTTTACTTTGTTTACTACTCATAAAATGGTACTAATAGTATCCTGCAGCTGACTACAAAATAAACGTAATATTGCTGAGAACTTACGACAATTATTTCACTGTATAAAAAGATGACTTTGTTTGCATGCTAATATTCAAAACCTACAATACTTTCTTAAAAGTATAACCTTTTCAAAAAGCATTTTTTTACAACTCTGTCTTAAAAAATTGCTGTGTATTTTATGTCATAGTAATTGATATGCTCATTTTACCAATTAAGTCATAGAATACTATCTTTCACTCATATGCACAAATTAAAAATTTTGAGGCAAGCACCAGGCTGGCTATGGCCAAAGTGTAACTGTAGGAAATCGGTCACAGCTCTGAAGCCCTCTGGTCCCTCTGGCCAATGACAGCCTCTCCTGTACCCAGAGGTCTCCATGTCCTAACTCTTGTAATCATTAGCTATTTATTTACTCTTTGCTATAGATTTGCTACCTATTATAGTTCAGTTTCTCCTGTTTATGAACTTTATATAAAAGAAAACATACTTTATTCTTTAGTGATAGGCCTCTCAGTCAGTGTTGTTCAAGTCAGCCCAGGTGTAGCTAGAGCTAGTTCATCTGCATTTTACTCAGCGTTGCATTATATGGATATATACTACAAATTGTCTCTGGTTCTACAGAGAAACATTTCGAGTTTTTACTCTTATAAACCATGCTACAATTAATATTTTTGTTGTGTCTCATGGTACAAAATCTGAAGTCCACAGCTAGGAATGTTATCACTGGCTCGCCAGGGTATGCACATCTTCAACTTTATTAGATATTGTCTGTTTCTCAGTCTACTTGAACCACCTTACACTCCCACAGAAGTGGTATAAGACTCCATTACCACAGTACCAAGGTTTGTTGCATCAGACTTCATTTTTTGAAAATTTTATGGAACAATGCTATTTCTGGGTATTAGTATTTTGGATTACTAACAAGGCTGAATATATTTTTGCTGGACATTTAGATTTCTCATTCTAGAGTCCTTACTGATCTCTCATTTTTCTTTTTCTCCTTTACACTGTAGTTCTGTTTATTCTGGATATTCAACATTGTGTAAAGGTTGTCACAAATCTTTTTTTCCAGTTTGCATATCTTTTTCCAATTTGTAGTTTGGCTTGTCATTATCCATATGCATTTTTTTTAATCCTCACCCAAGGACATGCTCATTGATTTTTAGAGAGAAGGGAAGGGGGGAGAAGAGAGAAACACTGATGTCAGGAACACCTGTCGGTTGCCTCTAATACGTTCCCTGACAAGGGATCAACCTAGGTATGTGCCCTGACCAGAAATTGAACCCAACCTATGACCTTTCTGTGTATGGGACAATGCTCCAACTAAGCCACACTAGCCAGGGCATCATTATCCTTATGTATTTTCTGGAGAACGAAGTCACTTCACTTCAATGAATTTAAGTATATGAAATTTTCTTTTATAGTTAGCATTTTTTATGGCTTATTTCAAAAGTTCTTTTCTATTTTGAGGTCAGTAGACACTCTCCTATATTAACTTCAAAGGGCTTTTTAATTTTGCTTTTCACATCTAGGTTCTTAATAAATCTGGGATTTGTGTTTAGTAAGACAGTAATCTGGGGGAAAAAATTTCCCATATGGATATCCAATTGTGCCACCACCTTTACAGAAAAGTGTATCCTTTTATCACTAATCAACAAATGCCTCCTCTGAGGTATGCAAAAAATTTGTATGTATTCCTGGATCTGTTTTTCAAATTCTGTTCCACTGCTCTAGACAACTACTCCAGCACTAACATGTAGTCTTACACATTACAGCTGAATTATCTAAAAGGGACAAATCTGCCCGTTTTGTTTTTCAGGAATATATTGTCTTTTCGGTTCTTATCCATTCCCCTGTAAGTTTCAGAAGCAACTTAGGTTCCACAAAAAATACTTGGGACTTTGACTGCAATTACATTGGCTCTGTGAACCAACTGCCAGTTTACTGTATCCAGTCCTCTGTGCCAGGGCAGTAGTTCACCTCTCAATTTTAGGTCATCCTCAGTGCATTTACACAGGTCATCTTTACTGCCTCTCAATTCAGTTTTATGAACTTCAGAGGTCTTGCAACTTTTATTAGACTTTTCCAACAACTTTGCTTAACTTTCAGTCTAAACCAGCAATTGCTTAACTTTCAGTCTAAACCATCAATTTTCAAGTGGCGTAACACAACATTTTTTGAAACATGCAGGACACCTAACTATTTAACCAGGGGTACTGACCTATTCTCTTAGACGAAGTTAAAAAAAAACTGACAACAGCCAACACAATAGCCACCTAGTTTTTTGGTAAGATCACAAAAATATATACTTTTTGGTGAGCCAGAAAATTTTAGTAATTTATGTCATGAGATGATGAAGGTTAAAAATCGCTGGTCTAAACATTTACTTATAGATTCTGGTGGGTTTTCTATTTGCATAGTCTTATCAGTGCAAAGTAAAATGTTTTTTCTCAATCCTCATATCTTTTCCTTGGTTTACTGATGTCTTGTATGTCCAGTATATTACTGAAGAGGGGCAGACTGTAGGTGTTATCATCCTGTCCCAGATTTTAAAAGGAAAACATTTAATACATTCCCATCAATATTTACTACAGGTTTTTTGTAGATACGCTTTTTTCAGTTTAAGGAAGTTCTCACTTTCTGGTTTGAGAAGGAAGTTCTCACCTTCTTTCCTGGTTTGCTAACAGTTTTTAACCAAGAATGAATACTGAATTTTATCAAAGCACTTTCTGCATTTAATGAGAAATTTTCTCCTTTAATCTATTACAGTGGTGGAATATATTTACAGATTTTATTTTATGTACTTACTTTTTAGAGAGAGGGGAAGGAAGGGAGAAAGAGAAAGCAAGAAAAACATCTATGTGTGAGAAATACTGATAGGTTACCTCTCCCATGTCCCACACTGGGGACCTGGCCTACAACCCAGGCATGTGCCCTGACTGGGAATCGAGCCAGCAACCTGACTTTAGGTTTGCAGGCTGGCTGGCGCTCAATCCACTGAGCCACACCAGCCAGAGCTACAGATTTTCTAACATTAAAACAACTTCCCTTGATAAAGCATCCTCTTTACATATTACTGTATCCATTTTACTAAGCTTTTCCAGGGATTTTTGCATTTATAATGAGATGTTCCTCAAATTTTCCTAATATTTCTTGGCATATTTTATTATCACGGTTATCCCAGTTAAAAAAAAATAAGTTGTGTTCCCTCTTTTTGTTTGCGTAAAATTGAACTTACAGTCATTATTTTTTAAATCGAATAAAATTTTTCCAGAAAAGCCATACATTGTGGGAAGATTTTTGGCTACTGATTGAAATTTTTTAAGTGAGAAGTCAGGTCATTATTTTTGTTCTGCTCTCAAGCTAAGAACACTTTGTACAGTTTTGAAGGGTTTAAAATATATATATATACATACATATATATATACATACATATATACATACACATACACATACACCCCTTATATACATACATATATATATATATATATATATATATATATATATATATATATATATATATATATATATATATATATATGTAATAGCTCAGAAGGCTTGCAAAGCCTAAACATTTATTGCCTGGCCCAAAAAAAGTTTGTTGACCCCTGTTCTATACCCTTAAATCAATTTCTGTCTGACTGTCCATTAGTAAGACACATGTTCAAAACTCCCATTACGATGATGATTATCTATTTCTCCACATAGTTTTGTAAAGTGCTGCATTTTTACTTTGAATCTTTGTCACTTGTTACATAAAACTTTTTGTTACATCTTCCTGATGGATTAAGTTTTTATCAATACGCAGTGAGTTTCTTTATGCTAGTAATTACTGAACTATACTGTTACCATTGTTCATTAAGTATACCAACTGTCTTTTGATCAGAATTTGCATAATTTTAAAAATTTCTTTTACTTTCAGTCTTTTGTATCTTAAATATTTATGTGTTCCCTGTAGAGTTCTAAAGGTCTCCCTTTTTTTCAATTTTATTTCCTTTTTAATTCAATTTTATTTCATAACACCAGAGAGTTTAATAAACTGTGAATGAACAATACACGATTGCTGACTACAGGTACATGTGTACAGCTGACTCTAGAGCTTATTCATCTTACTTAACTGAAACTATGCTGATTAGTAGCTCCCCACTTACCCCAACCCCAGCCCCTGGCCACCACTATTCCATTCTTTGATCTATGAATTCAATTATTTTACATGTCTCATATAAATGGAATCATACAGTATTGGTCTTGCTGCGAATGGCTTATTTCATTTAGCATAAAATCCTCAAGTCTTTGACTTTTAAATGGAGTCATTAGTCCATTAACTAAATTTACTATTGTAATTTCCAAAAATATTTGGATTCACAACTACCATCTCATTTAATGCTTTTTATTTGTTTTGTCAATTTAATTTCCTTTTTGTCTCTTCTGGCTTTCTGTCATTCTAGTTTTATCTCTACTTATTTGTTTAGAAGTTATATACTGTTTCTATTTTAATGTATATATTTAAAAATGCATGTATATATGGATGGATGGATATAGGTAAACATACACACCCATACAAATAAAAATCACTTAAATCTCAAGTATTCTTAAAAACTAGAGTTGATTTATTTTTCAGCTAACACTATTTCCTCTTTTCTCTAAATGAGTTCAAGTACCTCTTGCCACCAACTTGGCTGAGAGAATTCTCAAGCCATTGTTACTTATTTAAAACTCATCTTTATTAAGTTCATTAGTTAAATATAAAGCCTCACAAGTGCTTCTCAGCAGCTATTCCCTTTCCTACATACTTCTAAGCATTTAAAGGGAAAAAATGGCAGCTTGACAATTGGTTCAATTTACACACACATCTTTTATCTCTTCTAGGATAGGCTGGTAGGAGTGATTCTCTTTTCATATTACTGTATTACTTTTACCTCGAATAATGAGGATGTTTAATGTATACAACAGGTCTTTTTTAAAAAGCCTTAATGTTGGCAGTTTTCAAAGCTGCTCCAAGGTGCCCAAAACTCAGAGGTGCTGTAGGATTTCAACTGTTCAGAGAAAGCACAGACAAACCCTACATATCAGATACTAGCAAGCTACTAGTTTTTGATGTAGTTCAAAATTGTGGCATTACAACATGTTACATTCCCTTTGATGACAGTATCTTTATAAAGCCAGGTTTGGGGCAGTTCCTATGATTAAAAAAAAGCAAAACACCACTACATGAAAAGCAATGTGAAACAGGAATGTAGGTGATTGTGTCTGTCTGTTTCCAAGGTTTGAGATGTCATACAATACCTAATGTGCATCAGTGTATACCCACAATTATTTAACAATGAAATAATAAATACTAAGTCATTAGGACATAACTGGTTAAAATTAAACTGTTAACTTTCAGCCAAGAGGCACTGTGAAAAAAATTAACATGCTAAGGGCAATGTTAACAGAATTTGGGAATATCTACCATAGTGTCAAGAACACTAAAAGAAACCTTAAGGGCTAGTCTTTCATTCTATCAATTACCCAGCTTATAGGTCACTTACTTTGCCTTAATTTTCCTCAATGGAAAATTGGTCATAGAGACAATGAGACCATTCTGAATATGTGACAGAATTATTGTGAGGACTACTGGAGGCTAAAAATGAAATTCCTGTAAACTGTAGTGCATAGTATTTATTCAGCCTGAAGGAGAGAAGGTGTTACATTCACAAAAAGAAAAAGCAAATGGTCAGGGTCCATATATTATTAGGAAAGCAGAATCTCACCTTTCTGAAATCTCTTCTAGCAACTCCATAAGTTTAGCAGCCAAACCAAGGCGTCGAAATTCTGGGGCAACAGACAGAGCTGTGACATGTCCATGCCATTCTTCCCTAGCAACTGAGCCTTCTGCTTTACCCATAACTGTCAACAAATATTGTATTCATTAATAACACATGGGTTCACATATTAATATAGAATTACTGTTCAGTAGGTACATTTTTAATTTATAGAATGGATCAGTGAGTTGTCTAATGGTTGAAAAGGAAATAAAATTATAGACATTGTGATCATACTTTCAATTCTTTATCAATTTAAGTAAATTAGCTGAAACCTGTATTAAAATCTTAACTACCTATCCAAAAAATACAAGTGGTATTATACTTACTATAACCCATTAACTCTCCACCAGGTGCCTCTGCAACAATGAAATACTCTGGCCAATGGGCAAGGTACTGTAAGTAAAAAGGAATCCCATACTAGAGTCTTATTAAGGAGTGTGCAAAGCAATGGACAGTAACAAGTTCATCCCTTCATAAAAAGGATATTTTAAAGAAAGTTTCCTTTAAAAAGTATACTGTTACTTTATCCCTAGCCCTATATATGTGATATCTATAATCATATCATTATGTGAAATATTTAGGTTAGCACTAATTTTTAACTATTACCTGAACATATGTCAAATGTGAATGGAGACCATAATATCTACTAGAAAGCAGAGAACCAGGACTCCAAAGTTCTGCAATCAGTCTCCCTACTGATCACACTGTAGCCTAAGTCTCAGCATAGCACTTAATCCTCACCTGATACTCATCTGTTTACCAGCCATCTCCCCTTAGAATATGAGTAATATTCTCTGTATCCCTGGAGCTTGCCACATAGATGCTCAATGTTTATTTTTCCATATTTGTAGGAAAATTAGACTGGTACCTACTTTAGCTTCAACTATGAGACTGTGAAAGTAACTTTATAAGTACTTCCTAGTCATCTTTTATTTGGTAAATTATGAACTGGTATAATTTATACAATTCATGTATACTGACTATGGAAAAGTTGTACATATTTCTGTATTTTGGATGAGAAATTTTTCTTCTATGATGAACTGCTTATCTTGGAAACAAAAAACACTAAGTACTTCCAGAGGCAACTTAACAATTACCCAGTTTTCCCTTCCACTGATTCAGATTTTCTACTTCTAATACTGCAAAGAAAAGCTGACTTAAGAGTGAATGCCTGAATAATTTGTTCATTACTTAACTCTTCAACCCTGTTGTCCTTACTAATATATACTCATTCCTATATTTCTTCTTAGTAAGCTTGCCGATCCAATTCTATAAAGGGACATCATCAATCATACATTTTTTAAAAAAGTTCCTGGAAAGCCTGTCCAGTAAATTCTTCAAACACTCCTCTGAAGGACAAGTTTTATTTTCAATACTCTTCAAACATAACCCCTAAAATGACAAGCTAACATCTTCCTGCCTGCAGCCCAAAAACACACCTTAACTGTCTCTCCTCCAGTTAATGGAGGAGACCCAGAAGTTCATTCATCAACCACTAGGATCTGATAGGTTACTTTCAAATATGGCTTCACCTAAATTATATTATGAGACCTTTTTTCTAAGTTTTAAGGGTAACTGGCTATACACCATATATTGATTTGCATCCTAATATTTTCCTTTATTATGCTGTGAAAACTGAATCTTTCGGAATTCATTTCCTTTTTTTGAAACATGGATAGTCTTTAATAGGTCATAGTTTTAAAAACAAATGAAAACTTGGGAGATTTTTTTTCCTTTCCCCACTCAACTCTATATGTAGCCCTGTTCTATCTACAGTTAATTTTTACTACTGCATAGTATTCCATTATGTGAAAAGACTATTTAAATATACTATCCCTTGACAGTGGACATCTAGGTTGTTTCTACTTTCTCAAGAACTTTAAAAAATTCTTTATGAATACAAAATAGTTTATTTAGTCGTTTCCTTATTGCTATGTATGTTACTCCAAATTTTTAATATTATAACTCTGCAATAAATATTTTTGTAATGGCATAACTAAGAGGTTAAAAAACATTTTCTGTAAAGGACCATATAGTAAATAGTCTAGGCTGTGTGGTTCATATGGTCTCTGTTGCAACTACTCAACCTAGGAAAGGCATGGGCAAAAGCCACAGCTAATAGTAAGTTATTCAGTATAGTTGTGTCCCAATAAAACTTTATTAACAAAAACAGGCAGTGGACCAACTTAACTCATGCACCTTAGTTTACTGACATAATTGCCCCTGTTGCTTACTATTTTCCACTTCTAGGAAATGCAATTACCAAGAATTGCATTGCCAAAGTACCTTCCAGAAAACTACTGCAGTTTCTATCTTCACTTGCAATTTATGAAAATATTCCTGTAACCTCACCTCATCAGCACTGAGTTTTAGCATTTTTTAAAATTCTTGATAATTTGATAGGTAAAACATCACATTTCATTTTGCTTTTAATTTGCATGTCTTTTGACTGGTGAGACTAAACTCCTAGTATGTTCAGTAGTCTCCTATATGCCCTCTTTTATTAAATTACCAGTTAATATTACTGCCCTATCCTACAATGGATATGGATAACCCAGAAATCCAACTCTGTGTTTTAAGCCACTGAGAATGTGGGGGTTGCCTGTTACTGTAACATAACCCAAAGTACCCTAATTTCACACCTTTGCCCATTTTTCTCTTGGGGAACATGATACACACTGCTCATTGTTACCCCAAATCCTCTCTTTACTACAGTAACAAGCCCCAACTTAAAGCTAGGCACATTCTGGGGCTTTTAAATAAGTGTAGCATGATGCAGATGCTGGTCAATGAGATACAGAAGGGTTATGTGGTGCCTCCCCAATGTACCACTAAAAGGAAAGGACACTCTCCACTTCTTGTCTGTTGATCCTCATGACAAGAACACGGATATGATGCCATTTGCTCTGGCAACCATGAGATAAGAAGGTCAAGGTCACCCTGGGAATAGCAGAGTGGTTCAGGTGCAGGACTTGGTCAATGGCAACTATATGGAACCACAGCCTGCCCTGGATTGCTCATCGTTTCCAAACTTCACTCACAACAGAAAGAAATAACCCATCTTGCTGAACTCACTACTTTCTGTTGTGTACAGCCATACTTAATATGGAGAGGGAAGCTGGGCAGGGAAACTAGAAGTATTGTTATAGACTTATAAGGTCATTGTATTAGCAGCTTGTCAGGCAGGTTTAAAACAACTCTTGTTCCCAGTTCTTGTAAATTGCTTTTAATGTTGCTTATGATGCTTACTTACCTACAAGCTTTAAAGTTTTTCAGTACTTGTCTATTTTTCCCGTTTCTCTATTTTACTTACTCTCAGTAAGCTTTCACTTAACTTTTTAAAAAAAGGATACAGTTTCTGTAAGTGGATCCAAGTTACTGAAAGAAATGAGAATTATCAGTAGTAAGCAGTGTTTACAAAACCAGTTTAAATAAGGCCATTAAAAATAAAAATAATAATATGCACAAGGAAATTTAACACAAAACCACTTTAAAACCAACTTTAGGGCCAAGGAAGATGGTTTAAATTACCTAACAGCCATATTGCAAAATGATAGTTGCAAAATTCTTTCACTGTGGAGAGAACTTTCAAGATCTACTCTCTTGGCAACTTTTAAATATGCTATACTATTATTAATTATACTCACTGTACTACCCACTACATGCCTGTGACTTACATATTTTCTAGCTGGAAATTTTATACCTTTTAAGACCCTTCACTCATTTTGCATGAATAACTTTTTAAAAAATTTGTATGCAACCATAAAAGACCCCAAAGAGCTAAAGTAATCCTGAGGAGAATTAACAAAGCTGGAGGTATCGTACTCCCTGCAAAGTATACTACAAAACTACAGTACTCAAAACTGTATGTATGGTACTGGCAGAAAAACAAGACACACAGACCAGAAATGAGCCCAGAAATAAACCCACACGGGACTCTTTGGCAGCCCCGGGCCTGCTGCAGGGTCCTTGGGAGAAAGCTGGGTCATCAGCTCCCTTCCTCCCCAGACAAGCAAGGTTTGGGCAACATCAGTAGAGACCTGTTTGCTTGAGGTTGCAGAAAAGGGAATAGAAACAAAGAAGCAAAACACAAACACAATGATCACCGGAGGAGTCTGGGGTCGCATGCTTGGGAGAACTGAGAGGTTCAGTGTCGGGCTCTGGCTCTGATAGTCACTGGTCTGGCTGGAGAATTGGGCTGTACTGAGTGGCAGGCTAGATTACAGAAAATTTATCCAAAAGTAAACATTTGAAGGATTCTCCTGTGGCAACTGCCTGACCTCCTCTCCACCCAGCTTGGCAGCGATCCTGAAGTTTGGCAAAAGGCCTTGCATTCCCTCATAGTACTGGGAAGAGTTCGTGCCCAATCCCGGGAGACCCAGGCAACCTGGAGGGCGCGCTCACCCACACCCCACCCACGGTGATGACCCCCGGAAAGAGTGCTCTAAAGAGGACCAGGATTCCCTGTGAGGGGCACTGGGGAGAGGAGCCAGACTAGCTGTTTGGGAGAGTGCTCTCTGGACTGCCTGAGTACACACATCAGGAAGGGAGAAAGGCCACACCAATTGCCCCTCAGCCTGCTGCAGCCATTAAGACCAGAAAAACCAGTATGACCAGTTTGAAAACAAGAAACTTTTTTTAAGTAATCTTTTATTTTTTTTAATTTTATTATTGTTTTATCTTTCAATACCTTTTTCCTCTTTCCTTCTTTCTTGTTTTATTCCTTCTTCCTTTCTTTCCCGACTTATCACTTCTTCCTCCCTTCTCCTGTCCCTTTTTTCTCTTTTTCGCTTTTACCCAAAAGTGAGAAAAACAACTTGGAACTGCGAAAAGACCAGAGTTGGACCCAAAGAGGGGGCATCCCAACAGTAGAGACAGAGAGAAAAATTTCACTTTGCTATAGCAGAGAACCCACAAGTTGCTGCATATATGTATTATTTTTTCATTATTCTTACATCTTTTATTTTAATAGGATGTTTGTATTCCTCTACTTTCTCTATACTCTTCTTTGCCTTAGCTGGTTATATTCTATCATATCACAGGTCTCCCTTGTTCTCTCTTCCACAGTGTATTGCTAATTTACTGTCCTTCACCTCACTTGTGATCCTTTAGCACACTACTCAAAGTTCTATACCCCCTATTCTTGTTGTCCAGATCACACAGATTCTGTCCTATGATTATTGCTCTAATATTATTGTAAAAAATAGCTGTTTTTACCACTGTAAATACTTCACAACACCCATCCTGGATCTTAGCTCACTTCACAGTTTCCTCTATTACTGTAGTGGTTAACTCTACTCTCTCACACACTACGCCTATTTACTATCCTTTACTCTTACTTACCTCAGAATCTTACCTCCCACAACCCCACTGCTCTCTAGATCCAACCTGTCCAACCTTTTTAAAAAATGGGTAGTTGGGTTTAAGATTATGGTTAACATTATACATAGCCTAAAGATCTCCTATCTCTTCTCCACCGGTTGCTACTGTAAATATCATACAATACTCTCCTGCTCTCATAAACCATTTTGCCTCGCCCTCCAACTGATCACAAAATAAAAAGAGTAGGTAGAAGTGGTGAACACCAGGATACCACTGGAAGAGGAAACCCAACAACAAAGGAACCACCAACAGATAACAACAGAAGACAGTGAAGGAGGGAGTGGAAACCACACAAACCTCAATCCAAGACCTATGTGGAAATACAACTAAATAGTGGAGAAACCGCCCAGTACAAACAACTGAACAGGAGCAAAAAAAAATCCCCAAAACTTTATACACATGGAAGAACTAGCTTCAACACCATCTGCCCTCACCAGCACAACAAATTACAAGAGGTGGTGAACACAGGGACCATAAGTTAACCAACTGGTGGGAAGGAACCACAAAAGAAAGACCCAAAACAACCAAAACCTAAAGACAAACACACAGCCAACTTAAAGGAGAGCCCAAAACCAGTGACCTTGGTAGATCAAGGAGACTACACCACCGAATCCCACAGGTATTATATCACAGAAGTTCACATCATAAACCCAGGAAGCCAGAACAAATCAATTGAAGATACTAAAGCTAAGAAGAAGAGTCTCACAAACAATAGGAGGCAAACAACCAATCCCCAAACAAAAGGAAAGGAGGAAGCCTCAGAAAGATTGCTAGATGAAATAGAAGCAAGTCAACTATCACATATTGAATTCAAAGCACTGGCTATCAGGAAGTTCAAAGAGCTCACAATGAGCTACCAGAAACTACAGGGGAATTACAATTAACTTACTGCAAACTATATCATCATGAAAAAGAAAACAGATACTTCCGCCAAGATGGAGGTGTAGGTGGAAACACCTTGCGTCCTCCCACAACCAAGTTTAAAAACAACATTTTTACAACAATAAACGCAACCAAACCACAAAGAAAATCCACAATACAGAGTCCAAAAACAACAAAATGGTCAGCTAAACCGGTAAGAGGGGCAAAGCCAGCAGCAGAGAGGGTTGGCCAGAAAGATCCCCAACTGCGGTGGTGCGCAGGCAGCCTAAGGCGTGGATGCCAGGTGCAGGCTAGCTACGGGCAGACACAGGGAAGAGGTGAGGCTGGCTGTCTGTGGTCGGTCGAGCATTTCCAGGCAGATAAACCTGTGAAGAGGCGAGCATTGAGACCGCACAGCGTAGGGGGGCAGGCTCGCACATTTCCGCTCAGATAAACAGGCGGGGGAGAGTGGTGGGACAGACTGGGCTAGAGGAGAGGACCGCCACTGCTCTCTCTCTGACCCTGCCCCCACACACAGCACCACAAACCAGTGACCTGGGTGGCCCCACCCTGGTAAACAACTAAGGCTCCACTCCTCATACGTAACAGGCACAAACAGATAAAAACATGGCTCAAGAACAACTCAGAGCCCCAGAGCCGAAAAATCTAAGCGATGCAGAAATTAGCCAAACTTTCAGATGCACAGTTCAAAAAACTGGGGATCAGGATCCTCACAGAACTGGTTGATTTTAGTCACAAATTAGAGGAACATATGAAGGCTAAACTAATTGAAATGAATGGTAATGCACAGGAAACCAATAGTAATGGAAAGGAAACTAGGACTCAAATCAAGGGAGTAGACCAGAAGGAAGGAAAAAATGACCAAACAGAAAAGAATGAAGAAACAAGAATTCAAAAAAATGAGGAGAGGCTTAGGAACCTCCAGGACATCTTTAAACGTTCCAACATTCAAATTATAGGGGTACCAGAAGGGGAAGAGGAACAGCCATGAGTGGAAACCTTATTTGAACAAATAATAAGAGACCTTCCCCGTTCTGGCAAAGGAAACAGACTTCCAGGAAATCCAGGAACCTCAGAGAGTCCCAAAGAAGTTGAACCCAAGAAGGAACACACCAAGGCACATCATCATTACATGAGCAAAGATGAAAACGAAGGAGAGAATCCTAGAAGCAGCAAGAGATAAGGGAACAGTCACCTACAAAGGAGTTCCCATCAGACTGTCAGCTGATTTCTCAAAAGAGACCTTACAGGCAAGAAGGGGCTGGAAAGAAGTATTCCAAGTCATGAAAACCAAAGACCTACAACAAAGATTGCTCTATCCAGCAAAGTTTTCATTTAGAATGGAAGTACAGATAAAGTCCTTCTCAGGTAAGACCAAATTCAAGGAGTTCATCATCACCAAGCCCTTATTATATGAAATGTTAAAGGGACTTACCTAAGAAAAAGAAAATAAAAAACATGAACAGTGAAAGGACAACAACCACACCTAAAACAAAAGCAAATTAAGAGGACAGCTAGATCAGGAGTGAACCATAGAAATGAAGATCATGGGGAGGGATAGCAACAGGGGAGTGGAAGAAGGAGAAGGGGAGAGGAGGTACAGAAAATAAGTAGCACAGACAGTAGATAGAAAATAGATACAGGGGAGGGCAAGAATAGTATGGGAAATATAGAATCTAAAGAACCTGAGACACCTGTTCATGAACTAAAGGGGCGATGGTGGGGTAGGGGTGTGCAGGGTGGAGGGGAACAGAGGGGGGGAATAGAAAAAAGGTAATGGCATAATCGGTCAAAAAAAAAAAGAATTCACCAGGAAATCTGATTAAAAGGCCCATTAAGTGACAAAAAAAAAAGAAAATAGAAACTTTCAACAAGGGCCAAGAGGAAATAAAGAATAAAATTTCTGAACTGAAGAACTCAGTGGAAAGAATCAAAAGCAGGATCAATGCAACAGAAGATCGAATCAGCAAGTTGGAGAACACAGTAAAAACAAAAACTCCCAGAAAGAGCAAGAAAAGAAAAAGAGGCTCAGAAAGAATAAAGAGAGATTAAGAGAAACGCAAGACAATATGAAACCTAATAATATCCGAATAATAGGGATAACAGAAGAAGAA